AAAGTATGGTGGAGAGACTAAACAACTCTCAAGTTTCTGCTAAAATAGTTAACAGGAAGAAAGATAGAGATAATTTTGTCATTAGCATAGGACCTATGTCATCTGTACAAGGACCATGTATAGTAAAATATACCTGTTTAAGAGAACAAACATAATAGCAATTGAACAATTTTGAATCTGCATAAGGAAAAGCAGAGGAGGTAAAACTTACTGTTTTTTTACAAGACCTCTCTGCCAGTATATAGAGGGACTGTGTATAATATGGCCTTGAACAACTTCAGTTTAATTTTTCCCCCAAAAAGATTTATTACAACGACGTTCAGAGCTTGAAAATCATTAATTTGGAATAAAGCTATCTTGCAAGTCTCTGTTGCTCACAAGGCAGTGGCCAAGTTCAAATGATAAACTGAACTTTAATTATGTTGAGAATCTTGCCAGAGAAGCTAAAAGAAAGGATCTTTTTAGTGAGGTTATATATCCCTTTAATTTGCACACTGCACAAAACAAAGCTGTAGGATTCTCATCTTTCCAGGATATATGCAAGAGTATATTTATCTATTGATGTAACATTTGGTTTTCTTGTAAATACAGAATCTATACCTGATGACTGTGAAAACTTGTCTTCATTTCTTAGTGTAGGTGAGAGAAGTTTCTAAATTGGAGTGAAAACTTTACTGTATTTACTGTGGTAAAGGATGCAGTGATTACATAGATGTACCTTATGCTGAATATTTGTCAGAAATCTTTACTGAGGTCTAATTGGGCAAATTAATATCTAGTTGAGAAGATTAATGGTAGAGAAGTAAAAAGGGTGATGTAGTCAGTGATATTAAAGCACCACAAGAGGTTGTAGTTCTTTACCACAGTCCTTTATGCTGTAATTTTTTTTTTGTGGTCTTGAGTTTACCAGTTATTGGATGAGACCATGACAGCTAGTACCAGTGCTGCATAAAGAGCAAATCCCATCAGTAGTTAGCCTATGCTAGGTAGCAATTAGCTAGAGAGGGGGGGAAACCTTAAAAGCACTGATAAGAAGGTAAATTTGAACATCTGTTAAGTGTGTTTAAGTACACTCTTTACTGAATAGACCAAGAGAGTACTTTTGTGTTTTCATGTGCCAACAAGACTTTTTTTTCTGTTTTTTTTGGTTCTCTCGGCCTTATGGAATATTGGTAACGACCTGTGTGAAGAGGTTGATAATTCTGCACGTGTTAGTTGAGTATATTTTTTTCAAAGTAGCTTCCAGTGACATGGAAGTACATGATTAAATCAAATGGGAATGGTTACATTGTCAGTGTTATCTTCAGAGTTTAAGCTGTTGAGAACTTGCAGTAAAACAACAAATAAATACAGGTCTCTAGAAAGTATTTTCCAAGTGTAGTAAACTTGAAGATTGATTCAAACTTCCTTCTGCAGCTGGGCAGGTAGAAGGAAAAGGACAAATGTTAACTTGAGAACAGCTTTTTTGAACTTGGTTATTGCTATGCCAACTGAAGAGATGGAAAGCTGTTTGTTTAATAGCACAGGATAGAAATATTTTCATGAGAAGAAAATGCAGCTGTAAGAAGGTGGTGGAGTTGTATTACCTGAATCCTTTACCTGCAGAGTGCTGAGGGTGGCTGTAGCAGTGGTGTGTGCTGTGCTCTGAAAAACACTTAAAAGCAGGAGAACTCTGACATGCTTGTATGTGCTTTGAGTATTAGATATATATGCAGATGAAAATAATGTCAGAGGACATTAGAGGAATCCTAGAGCTTTTTTTTCTTTCTTTCTTTAAGTTGCCTTCTTGGTCCTGCTTGTGTTCCCCTGTAATCTGTTCCTTCTGCCCAGATGTTCTTTTTTGCTGTGTCTGATGTTATGCATGTTTTTTAGGATTTATTTTAGTACAGCAGTACTTTGAAAGATGTGCTGATTTATGAGGTGTGGGTTATATGGATGAAAACACCATTTATTAAAATTTAATTTATTTTTTTTATTATTGTAACTCATGCATCTGGATTAAATTTCACCCAGCATGAGAAATATCTGGTGTTTGTAATTCTGATTTAACAGTTTCATGTGGTAGCATCCAGGTGTGTGCAAATTATTTTGTCTCTTGGGGATTTAAAACATTGGAAATGCTGGAAGAGATCATCTGGATTTTGCTGTGCCTGTCTTAAAAGATCCCTTGGTAGCTACCATAATGCTTTTCCAAGATAATTAAACCTTGAGTAAAAGGTTATTATTAGTATTCCAGGGATGTTTATATACTGCAAATGCAGGAATAGTTGGGAGAAACAAAACTCAAAACCTTAGCTTACTGGGCCAATGCTTTCTGTATAAGCTGCTACTCTTAAGCAGTATGAACGTTTTACCTAACATGTTGAATTGTCTGGTGAAGGAGAAGAAACGTACCTTGAGCTAGCTTTAGTGAGGTTCTGCCAAAAAACGTTTTCTCCTGTTACCCTGTAAAAAGCACCATGCAAACAGGAACATTTGTGCTTTCACTAAGATGAGTTGTAGAAACTGGAGAATCTGTTAATTATTTTTCTGTTTGAAGACAACTGTTTTATTGAACCGTATCCATGAACAAAAGCAGTGTATCTTGGAAACAGGCATCTTTCTTACTTTTGAGGAAGTGTGTAAATTTTTTTGAGACGCTGTCACGTTTATTGTATTAGCTTGAAACAAAGATCAGCTTTATGATTTGCAAAGTCCTCCTAGGTAATTGAGGGATGTTTTCCTTCAGTGTGCATGTGTATGTTCTTCATTTCAGGGAACTCCTGTAGATACATTTTCCTGCTGACTCCTAAGAATAACTGGCCTGTGGTGGTGGAGATCTGACTATGCCCAGGAGGTTATGAAGTTGATTTAATTAATTTAGATCATCCTAAATCTTCAGTCCCTTTATGCTGAAAACAAAACTGTAGTGAGTTTTAAGATCATTGTAGTCAGTCAGTGGATAGTCATGATCCTTGCTGGGGGAGAACCCTCCAAAAGTTGAGGGAAGGTATGTCAGTCAGGTTTAAAACACCGTGTAGATTTTTCTGCAAATATTTATTTCATTTGAGAAGGAATTAGGTGGCACAGCCCTTAAATGTTTTGATGTGTTCGATTAGCTGCTGATACAGATAAAGGGACTGAGTCATAAATCTTTCTAATCTGTTAAAGTATGCATTTCCTACAGGATCAAAGAAGCTCTAATGCTGTTGTTGATGTCTTTGAAATCTAACAAAAAAATTGGTCTTTTCAATCTTGCTGTAATTGCAGCTTTCATACAGTAGACAAGAAGAGAATGATTAGTCAGAGTAACTCCTGAACTTTTTTGTAATAGCTTTCACAAGACGTTATAAAGAAATGTTTTAAAAAAATTAAGTAATACATGTAATTACATATGCTTTGTTCTGTTTAATAAAAAAAGTATATTTAATGACTGAACCCAAATTTGGTTGATTTCTGTAGTAGAAATTATTTTTTCAAAGTACATAGTAGATCATGTATGATAATGCATTTTTTACTTCTCAGTTGTAAAATTTAAGATGCGGTTGGCTTATATGAGGTAAATTTAGCACTTTAAATTGTTCATCCATTAAGTGTGTCTTCAGGGGTCAATATCAACAGCTTAAAAAAAAGAGAATTAAAAAAAGAAAGCAAACCCCCACAGAAAAACAAACTCCCAAACTCAAATTAGACGTATGTTATAGTAAAAAGGGTAATTCTTAATTCTCAGGTGTCTAGGCTTCTGTGAGTTAGTTTCTTCACTGAAATTCAGATTTATTTAGAAGTACTCTCCCCAATACCTAGGTTTTTAATCCAGGTGCATTTCTGTTTTAAAAAAAATCCAACAAACAAACTGATTGTGATGCCACAGAATATACTTCATCTTTAGAAATTCTGTTCAAGGGTAGAGATGCTGCATTAAAAGCCTTGCTATAATCTTCTAATCAGAAACTTGATAGTTATCCCTGAGCCTTTGTCTTTCTCTCCATCTTTCTCATCAAAACTGTGTTAACAAAATGACTTAATACCTGATACCAAATTATGAAAGTGTCATCCAAAAAATGAGGCATGCATTTTGAAACACTAACAGTGAAAGTCTGATACGGCACTTTAGAAGAGCTCCCATTGCTGCTTTAACCTTTCAAACAAGCCCTTAAACATACTTGCTTGCAATTTTGCAAAATGTTGAATACAGTTAGCTTTTTATATTGGAGAAACTTGACGTTCAGCACTTTAAAGGGCTTGCTCTTTACTGCTTAATTTGCAGAACTTGGTAGTGTGTCTTGCCATCTGTAAGAAAAATAGTTTAATTTCCACAAAATAATGTATGTATATCTATAAAAAAATAGATAAATGAATCTTCTAAGTCTAGACTACATAGTTGAAATAATTTTTATTTAAAGTTTATTGCCTAATGTACCATATGTAGTTGAACAAACCATTTTTTAACATTTTTGTGTAAATGCATTTGATTAAAATGTTATGCCTGCTTAATTGGCTTCAGAGACTTGCATTTCAGTTTAAGATGTCTACAAAAGTTTATTCTGGCCACTTAAGTGGAAGATAACAGTATGGTTTTTGTTTTCACATTCCTTGTAGTCACTAGTATAATTCAAATTGCATTGATTCAAATATATTTGCAAACATTGCTTGTTCTTTAACAATAAAGTTTGATACCTTTTTTAATAAGTTAAAATATTGTTTCTGCATAAATACACGAAACAGAACGTTGCTTATAATGTTTTTTTAGTATAAAGTCTGGTCTACATTGTAAGTAAGAAAATATGCACTTGAGGATTCTGTGTATGGAGAATCTAGGTTTTGTGAAGACATCTTGCTCAACTTGTAGAGATATTATTATATTTCATGCTTCAGTTGCCATTTAGAGAAGAAGGAAACAGTGTCTAAAATCAAGACTATTTTTATTTCTATTGGTAGTTTTGAAATTTTGATCAACTAATAATTCATGAAGGAATACAGACATTTTGACAAATGCTTTTTATTTTTTGTTCCTTACACAGACAAAAGAAGTTGGTTTACTTGATGGAGACATCTATGGACCTTCAATTCCAAAGATGATGAACTTAAAAGGAAACCCAGAATTAACACAAAGTAAGTGAAAGTGACTTTCTTGCTGTTGTCTTTTGTAAAGGGATGATCATGGACCACTCAATGGTGCTTCCTTAGTGTGGCACGGAAGTGATGCAAACAGAAGGTGAGGCCTTAGTGTATTTTTTTTTTTCCACAAGCTTGTACAACTAGGAGCATATTCAGGATCATTTTTTTCTTTTATGTTGGTCCACAGGCTTTGAGAGTTTCATGGATTATTACTAGAGACACTGGAAAGGGTAACTAGGAAAGGAAAGTTACTGTCAGTAGTTTTAAACTTGATATACAGGATCCCACTATAGAAGACCTCCAAATTAAAAAACCAAACCCCACTTGTATGGGGGAAAAAAAAGACTAATCTAGGAAATAAGAGAAGGATCATTACAGTAGCTTGTATAAAATGTCATTGTAGTGATTCTGTTTGGTCTCTGTTTCTTCAGCCAAACATGCCAGGCCACTTGATTCATTTTTGTTTGAAGTTGTGTGTTTAGGGATGCAGAGGTTGACTTCACTACCAGAAGGTAAAGACAGTAGACAAAACTAATTTTTCTTCTGCTAGCAAGGATTCTGGTCTGGGGAAAAGTAAATTCAGGTAGGAGAGTCTGGATAGAAATAAGAAACACCTACAGTAGGAAGGTTGTATCAAGTCTGTTTACCTTTCAAAAATTTAACTTCTAACCAGGGGTGAACTGAAGAATGGCTTTATCTTCATACCCTCTTCGTGTGATGTTTTAGTATAGGGGAGTGTGCTTTTTGGGGGTGGTAGGGACACAGGCAATAGGATTTGTTTACTGCTTTGTGTTGCTCGTCCTGTGATAAAGTGCATATAATGGTAAAAATGAAAACCCTGTAACCACAGACAAAACAGTCCCACACTATAACACCCGGACTTCGCATTAACAAGTACTAGGATCCTACTGAAGAAATTACAGATTGACAGTACTTGTTGACAGGGAGGGATCAAGGATGTGTAGTACCAGCTGAGATAAGATGTAAAAGGGTTTCAGTGAAATAATGGACTGTAAAAACTCATTAGTGTTTGTGGACGCTAATTGCAAGGTAAAAGGGAATTTAAATATTCCTTCTCATGCCATGATCTTTATCATAGAGTTTGGATTGGAATGGACCTTTAAGGTTCATCTAGTTCAATCCCCCCCCCCCAACGACCAGGGACAGCTTCAACTAGATCAGGTTGCTCAGAGCCCCGTCCAACCTGGCCTTGAATGTTTCCAGGGATGGGGCATCTATCACCTCTCTGGGCAACCTGCTACAGTGTTTCACCACCCTCACTGTAAAAAATTTCTTCCTTCCATCTAGTCTGAATCTATACTCTTTTACTTTAGAATTACCACTTGTCCTGTTGCAACAGGCCCTACTGAGTAGTCTGTCCCCACCTTTCTTAAAAGTCCCCTTTAAGTACTGGAGGGCCGCTACAAGGTTTTCCTGGAGCCTTCTCTTCTCCAGGCTGAACAATGCCAACTCACTCAGCCTTTCCTCATAGGAGGGGTGTTCCTACATCTACTTTGCTATTGTAGAATGTCCATTTGCATTTGATCTTAATTAGTGCATGTGTATTGTTGTGGTGGTGGTGGTTATTCTATACATTCTTGATTGGAATGAAGCATGCAGAATGAAACAGTGCCAATAACTGTAAAGGGTGGTTATTGAGCTTGCAACGTTAGCCTCTGAAAAATTAATTTGGCAAATTTAGGATTTCTAAAATAATTAAAATTCTGTCTTCTTATGCTTATATCCTCTACTCTGGACAAAGAAAAAATATCATTCCATATACAGATGCAGTGCAATATGCTTATGCAGGCAGCTGTCAAATTGACTACTTTCTACATCTAAGTATCTGGCTTACAAATACAGACTTATTTAGATTAATTTCTAAGATAGGAGGAGAGGTTTATTTGTTGAGTTTGTTTTATTTTTTGAAGTCAGAGGCTAATTCTGTTGTGTATTAAATAAGTAAGGGAACCCTCTCATATATCATCAGTAGAGACTGACTTCCAGGTACAAATTGAAATATTCTTACTTTCTCCTGTACTTTGAACCCCGTTGAGTGTATGTGTCACAGAGGCTGTGTTTTCCAGTAACAGATTTTTTTTTAAAAATGAATTTTGTGTTTGAAGTCCATTATGCAGTATGAACACAAAAGGGACTATGTTGTGATGTTCTTTGTATCTCCTCTTTTCCTTTTTATGTGACACTTTCCAGAGGAGATCAGGTAAAAATTTGATTTTTTTTTTCTTCTTACTGTTTTAAATCCATGTCATGAGCCACAAATAAGAAGCATGTTGCCCAGACTATTTCTTATGGTCATAGAAATTAACCTACTAGGAATGCAATAACTTAAGATATTAGTTTAGTCAGATATTAGGGCAGCCCAGTTTTGTTTGCATGTAAATTTCAGTGACTGTAGATATTTTGGGCATATATCTGGGAATTCACTATAAGCCTTTGTCTTAACATGTTTCAAGTGTTGTTAAAAATACGGAATTTGATGTAATAAAGAAATGGGAGGATTTCCCAGAATTGCATTTGCTGCTGTTGACTTACAGGTACTGACATTTTGATCACTAAAATGTGTTCTTTCTAATTCTGTGTGGAATGTACAAGCAAATATTAGTAGGATTTTAGAACATACCATATTTTTTAACTGTCAGAAAATGAATTTGCATTTTTCAAATGCTTGGCATATTACACAAGTCTACTGAAGAACTTAGGTAGTAATTCCATATGAATGATAACAGGATAGAATTTGTATTTCAGGAATTCTGTTCACTTCTGTGTACACTTTTAACTCTTGAGTTGAGGAAGCTGTAGAGTAACAACAGTGTAAGTGCTGACCAAGTAGCGAATGTTAAGATGATTTAATTGTGGAAGTAGAAATTTGGAGGGCATAGGAAGCTTTAACTGTGAACTTCAAGGATTCCTTTAAGTGATAGATAGGATAGACTTGCAAGGAAGTGATCAATCATAGATGTATATATACATGTATAGATAGAAAAATATGTATGACCCTTGTATCTTGGTATAATGAGGTTTAGTGTTATTTTCCAATTTCTTACAGTGTTTTCAAGAATAAAACATAAACTCTGAACACATAGTATTTTGTACGATAATTGAGCAAACCCAGGCAGTTCTGTGTTTAAAGATGTACATTAACAATGCATACATAACAATACATAATTCAAACCCGTTTTTTTTTAATAGCATAACAATCAAAAATCACGTTTAAAGTCTATTGCTGTCTTCAGTGTGAGGCCTGGATTTGAAAATGAATGTGTAGATTAATCCTGGGAGATTCTGAGCACTCTTGCACTCTTTGATTTCCATTTCTTTTCTCAGATGTAGCAGTTGAAAAAGGGATTAGGGATGCCTGATACCATTCAGAATAAATCTATGCAGCAATTATTACTTCTGAATAGAAATTATTATAGTTATGCTATAATTTAAGTTTTCAAAATGAATTAGGAGTTCTTAGTGAGGAGAGTTTGTATAGATGGAAGATACTCTACTAATTTAATTTTGCAAACTGTAGTATGCTGGAAAGTTCACTAACATTTAATAGGATGTCATTCAAAGTACTTTCACTGAATGGTCAGGAAAATATTGGTTAGTAAGTTCAAAACTGAATTTAATTAGCTAATGGAGGATTATCTAACTATGGAATAAATATTAACATCAGCTACAGTATATACACAGGGCAATGCTTGTAACACAAGTAACGAAAACAATACTTCTGTTCTTTCCCCAAATAATTTCCTTAAAAGCCATTTTCTGGCTTAGTGATCTGCATAATTCAATTTTTTTCCTTTTTAAAAAAATCTACCTTTTAAAGTAGTTGGCAGAGAGTAAAAGCTAATATACTACCAAAAAGGTATTGCCATTTTGCCAGATAAATAGAACATTTCTTCACTTAATTTGAATGATTATGGAGTTTTTGGTTGTCTTTTTTTATTATAGTTGAGTGCTCTGTTAATATTTCAAAGCTTTGTTGTGATTTTCTGATCTCAGTATCTTTTTTTTGTTCTTAATAAAATAGTATATTCAAAAGATTGGTAATGGGCATTTATTTTCAAAATTTGGAATAAAAATAAATTCTGAGAGAAAGCTAGCAGTAGTTGTGTCTGGCCCCATTGAGTCTAATAATATCGCAGGAGCTATAGAAATGAAATTACTGATAAAATTCTAAAGTCAGAATTGAACACTTGCATTTTTTCACTGGGACACATTTACATGTCTGCTACTCTTTAGACTGTGATAGCAGAATCTCATAAATGAAAATGATAATTTAAAATGGCATCTGTTGTGACTGTTTAAAGATGTCTGCTGGAAATTGCTGTATCAAGAGATTGTTGTGCATCCATTTGAGGGTTATAAATAGAAAATCTGGAGTGGACTAGTTAAATAGAGAAAATGTTATGTAGGTAGTGTAGTTATTGAGGTAACCATGAAAAAATTTATTGATCTTACATAAGGATTTATTTTTAAAGATACAGCTTGTATTCACAGAGTTCATGCTTTACTAGTGGAACTGCATCATGATTAATTTAAATAAAATCTAAATTTGATTCTTTAAAAATGTCATATTTGCTATTGCCATTACCTCTTGATTTGTGAAGAAGTGATTTTTAGGTTGTGTGTAGTCTAATGATATGTTTTACTGATTCTATTTTGAGAGAGTTCTGAACTGAAACCCTGGTTTTACTTTTGGTGATGTCTTATCCCAGTTTGGATGTATGGCTGAAGTAGAGTAGTCTCATGTGTCTTACATGTGACAAAATAATAATTCAGAATGTTGTAATTAGTTGTGCTTTATATTTTGGAGGCTCTTTTGGATGTTCTGAGGTAGCTGAAAATGAGAATAATACTCACATGTTAAATGTTTTAGTCTGGACCTTGACCATTGTCTTCAAGCCTGTAACAGTTAACCTCAGACTGGATTAATTCAGCTATTGTTGAATTCACTTGTAGAAAAAAATTGATGACCTCTACTTGGGAGGGAAAGCAGGTGGAGGATACCCATCTCTGTAAGGAATTATTTATAGGCATGCACTTGTTAGCTGCTGTTTAAAAAACATAAAAGCTTTAGACAGTTAATTTATTAAAATTTTATTCTTCATTATACATAAATTCATACTTTCATTTACAAAAAGGTAAGGCAACAAAGTATAAGATGAGAAATGTAGGGTAGTATTTAAAGCCTCTTACTGAGAGTGGTCTTTTTTGGATAAATGGCAAATCACATTTTGCTAAACGCTATTGCAATATAAATTACTGAAACAGTGTAACCTGAAAAAATGCATTTGTGTAACCTGAAAAAATGCAAATGGAAAGCAGAAGTGTATTACTCTTCATGTTAATCTTGCAGTGCAGTAATTACAAATGTTTCGATATGGATTATAGCTAGGGAATATTCATTACATTATAAAGTTTACTCTTAGAGATACAGATGGTTTGTCTGGCTCAACTTTTATACAAATTGGAAATGAATTGCAAAATGGTTTTATTA